AATGATTTTCAAAAATACTATTTAAAACTTATCTCCAAAATGTTGCCATGAATTGTTTAGAAATTTGACAGCAAATACTATAAATTATAGATGTTAATTTTCATTCATTAAAAGTTCTTCAAAGAGCATTTGAAAGAGAGATGAAAAGCATTAACTTGTACTAGTAGTAGGCAGATTCCGATACTTAGAAGTCATGATAGCAAATGCAAATTGAGCTTTCTAAACCAAGGCTCTTAAAGCATGTTATTAAGTATTTTCCTTATCAATTTGAGCAGCAGTGTGGTGCTTTAAAAGGACCAGGTATGGGGGTCCCTACCAGTACTGGGCAGATGGACCAGTACTACTCGGTTTTATGCTGCCTCATTTACTTAGTGTTTTGCAATCCTTAATGTGCACAGCTGGCAGCTGAATGCAGGTTTGATACTAACAGTTTAGACATCTTTAGATGTAGCAGATGGAAAATTTTACACAAATAAAGTAGGAGAAAGTGTGCAATTAGGTTTTTATCTGCAGTTACATGATGCATCCTGTGCTTTCGTTTAGAACATCACCTTGGTGGGTGGTCATCATCTTTCCTTGCACCAAAGCTGTACCTTCTTGACACCACACTTGATGTTGGAAGCCTGCCCAAACACCAAACTTCTGTTATTGTTGAGTGTGAAGGAAATAAGAAATGCAACAATCAGCAAAAGACAAAGGCAGACCAGCAGTGTGATTCCAGCAGCCCAGTACATTATGGTTACATTCCATGAGAGTTAAGTCACTATGGTAAAATCCTTGGCAGGATTTTTTTTTTTATTTTTTTTTTTTTTTCCCAATAGTTTATTCATGATGTTCATTATTATGAGCTGTAAAGACTATGAGAATTTCATTTTTTAAATGTCTTATGGAATGTATCACTTTCTTAGATCTTGTAGACATGCTGTGGAAACCATAACATAAAATATGAGTTACTTACAATAACTAATTTTAATCCCATCTGCTAAGTATGACAACATTAGCATTTCCACTTAATTAAAAACACCCTTAAAGCAGCAATGTTTTAATCACTCCATTTTATTTACTCTCCTCCGGTGTCACTTATAATTGTAACTTTTTATTTTTTAATAATGAGGGATTTTTTTCGCTCTGTGCATCACACAAAAAAGTGCTGTCGATAATTAGCAGTCTTCTGTTATTACTAGACTCAGGTGTCACAACTGTGTCTCATCCTCATTACAGTAAAAAATTTCACCTATCAGATTCATTATTGCTAGATAATGCGACTGAGAGCCTTAGCAGGCCCTCCAGAAAAGTAATTCAGCCAAGCAAAATTATCAGCTAATTATATTTAGAATCAAAAGCCCAACAACTATTTGCAGATAAATTGTATGAATTGAAGTGAATAGATCTGAATATTAAGATTCATAGATTTAGCAGATGATTTGTTAATTGGAATAAAAAGGTCATTTACTAGCCATTTTAACAATAGATCAATCGGAACTCTATTTATTATTTAACTAGTAGTGCTTAAGGATTGAAATGAAGAATAATTGTATTATTGTTGTGATATGATACTTTAATGGAAAAGGACAGAAATAGGTGGAAGTTGCAAAGCTTCCCTGTGTACTGGGGATGCTCTGCCCTGTTCAGTTCCATCCCTGGGTCTTGGCATCGGGAAGGTCTGGAGGAAAATGTACCGACCTGTCAGAAAATGCCTGGAAACTTTGGTGGGGAAAGGTAAAAAAAAGGAGTATGCAAATGAGATCATTTGCAAATGAAAGAATTCCAAATTTGAACTTTTAGGCAGCAAACTACAGAGGCATTAAATTCTGCTTTTACTAATTCATGATCCTGATAGAGGGTTTTCGTAGGGGGAAATTGCAGGCTCAAACGATGACTCAGATTGCATCTTGGCCTGCAGTTTTATTTTAGGGAGCTGTTCATTTTATTTTTAATTTTTTTTTTTTTTCCCATGCAGACGATATGATTAAAAAGCAAATATTTTAACATAACTTAGTGATCTGAGCTATTACTGAAATGTCCACAGTTTCACTCTTTTTTTTTTTTTTTCTCCTAGATTAAAGAAAACTTTAAAAATCTATTTGCTTTGACATATGACACAATATTTAAGAACTGAAATCATCAATTAAATCACACATCAGAAACATTTCCCTTTGGTAAAAAATATAGTGCTAGACGATGTACACTTTGAAATTGTTGGTAATGTTTAAAATGCAATCTGAAGTGCATATGTTATTTAAAAAAAAAAAAAAAACCACCAAAAATTACAAATTTTAAAAGTTTATGAAAAAAAAAAACCAACAAACCTAACAGTCATTCCTTAGCAAAAGCATTTGCAGAGGAATATGTATCTTTAGGGTTTGTGGATATGCATAGTTTTCTAGCATGAAAGCTGAATATGTTATTCTTTATTTTATTTTTTTCTTGTTTAAAACCAAGGAGATCTAAAGGAAAGAGAGTTCCTTCTGGACTGGATCGGGTGCCTGTAATAAGGTAACAAACCCGATACGCACATGAAGGTAGCGAAAGCCTTTTGAGCTGTCACTGAAAATAGAAAAGGTGAACGTTGACAAGATTTCAGAGATTTTTCTTTTTTTTTTTTTTTTTTCCTGGGGACTGAGGGAAACTGAAGTTAAAAATAAAGTCCTCGTATGGTCAACACGTTGGAGGAAATTCAAAGACTCTCATAAAATAAACATATTTTAAGAAGTGTTTTCAATTTCACTGTGTAATTTCTGGCCAACAGAAATTACAGTTGTATCTTTGGAGGGACATTATGTCAGATCAATGGTCATTATACAAAAAAAATAAACTGAAAACTTGATGCCTTAACCCGTGCAGCTATTAAAATGCAAACACGAAGAGGGTAACTTTGCTTTAGATTCGCTACTAGAAAACTTTACGCCGCTGTGTCGCAATTATAAAATATTTGGGGTTGATGTTACAGGAAATATGTAAATTATTCCTTGAAAAAAAAAAACAACAAAACAAACCACGAGTACAAGGCATCACACACTTTAGCAAAGGAATCTCATCAGTAGTTATTAAAAAAAACCAACAGTCTATATCCCAAAAAATAAAGGAGATTATCTGGTCCCTTCCAATCCCTAATATTCTGTGATTCTGTGAAGCTAAAATATCCCAGCTCGTTCATGGGGGGGAACGGGTTGGGATATATTCTGTTAAATAAATATATTTAACTGTAACTTTTGGAGTCTTAAAGTTGAAGGAGAATATCTGTTGTGCCAGGTAACGGTGACTGTGTACATCTGCGTACACGTAGACGTACGTCCAAGCGCGCTCACGTGCGCCCCTGTTTTTTCTGCAGCGTTATTAAGAGAAGCCGTCCATACTTCACCATGTTGTTACACGTGTCTTGTCTGCTGATTATAAAATGTGTTAAACAGTATTTAAAAAACAAAAAAATGCAGAGCTGCGCTTTGATTTATTCAGCGCACAAAACATATGCTCGCTGTTCTGTTCTATGTAATTCATATGATCAATAAAATTTTCTTTAAAAAGAGCAACTTTGGCATTTAGGAAGATTGTGTTGCTGAAGAAAAAAAAAAAAACAAAAATATTTCGCTCATGTTATATGTAGTCAACCTCAATGCTCTTGCACCAAAATAAGTTTTTAGCTGACTGACATCTATTTTTATATATTTATTATTTCTAATCTGCAGGGTCGAAGCTGTATATTGCGGCTGTTACCCGCTGTGTCCCAAAGCCTTGGTGTACCCAGAGATATTTCCAGGTAGTTGCTTCCTTACATATTCTTTTTGCTGAAAAGTAATAACGTGATTCATGCAAAAAATAGAAAGTTTGAGAATAAACTTGAGTGCAAGCAATTGTTTATTTGGCAAGCCAACATGTTAGTGTTAAGGAAAATTTTATGTGTTTTAATACATTAGATGAAGTTTATATTTGCCATCTGTTCTTTTAAGATAACACAAAAGCAAGTTTTGAAATAGCATTCTTCATTGTTAGCATACACAACCCGTAATGATAGATTTTTGTTAAAAGGTCAGCGATGCTGCAATGGTTTGCAGATTTTTTTGATATGCAGAAAAAAAAGAAACCCACAAAAAAACAACAACAACAAAAAAATGAGGCCTGAAAATCACACCAAATTATTTAAACAATTTAATACTTAATAGTATGCAACTGCGGTGCAGGATACACGCTGATGTAGTAGCAGTTCTTTGAAAAAAATCTCATCACTAAATGTATCACATATGCATTGTGTTACATTAGAATAATGTATTTTAATCACCCAAAGGAGATGTCTAAACAGCACAACTACACAGTCTTATTTAGCATTAAACATCCTTGTGAGCTGAGGTAACCTTATAAAATCATGCTTAAATAATGTAAAACACGAGGCGGCACAGAGCAATATGCATTTTTAATTAGTAAAGTGACTAATATCGAGTGTGTGCTTTGAGGTTTTTGTTTCATTAAAAATGTATCTGTTTTTCCTGCAGCTGAATATCTGTATTCTACACCTGAACAGCTTTTGAAAAGGCTTCAGAATTTCTGCAAGAGACCAGATATTGTAAGGAAACATCTCTATAAGGTAGTTGTTCAGAATAGTTTTACATGATATAATGCCATATTGAAGTACAAAGGGGGGGGAAAAAAAAAGTTAAAAAAACAACATTTAATTAACATACTAATGTTTAAAGGAAACATGCTAGGGAGGGATATTAGTCGTTACACTAACAAGGATTAATTAAACTAGATGCCAGTTGTATTAACCTAGGTCTTATGAAATACGTGCACTTAATGCATGCTGCATGCTTTTTTTTTTTTAATTTATTGTTTTCTAAAATGACTGTCCTTTACATTTGGACCCAAGAGGCTTATAAAAATGAACCTGGATTAATGCAACTCATTAGTTTAAAAGGAAAATAAAAGAAAGATCCTACAATTATACTAATGAGGATAAGCCTACCTTCCTATCCTAATTTAATCACCAGTCCTCAAAAAATGCAGGTGACTGGTGTCAGGTAAGATTTCTCTGCCTTTTGGAATTATTTGAATTATTTTCTTAATTATGATTATTTTAACTCTTTGCTTTTTAAGGTATGCTGAGCATTAAAAAGGTATAACAGTCGGAATCATAATTTACTTGTATTTATCAGATCCTATTCTTTGTAGTGATTTATGCAAAGAAAGTTCAGTTTCAGTGGCAGACCCTCCATTCAAGTTTCGATTGAACCTTCAACGCTAGACCCACTCTCACATTTTTAAGAGGTTTATATTTATACTGCTAAGAGTCACACTTTTTTTTTTTAATTATGCAATTGTAGATGAAGCCCTAAATTTTATATTCTTCCTATGAAGAGCTATTATTACACAACGCTGCTTCTAGAAAAATAACTGCTATTTTCTGCATGCTGATAGATACATTTACAGCATTTTCTGACTTTTGCAGCCCTGGCTATACTGTGAGCAGGTTGGATACACATTCCCACCACACGACAAAGGTGTTTCAGGTTGTAAAAAAACCTGAATTCAGCTGAAAAGTCCTTAAAGGTTTAGGGTGTGCATAGTCCTTAAAGGCTTAGGGAGTATGTAGAAATACTCCTTGTCTTACCCGTGCAATATAAATGTGGGGTTTTTGAGCGTTCCCTGGCTGTCACCATCCAGGCAAACTGTTAATGAGCAAGTCAAGTAATCTTTTTCTTAATTTGGAGGCTCAGGCTGCCAGCAGACCTAACTTCATCTCTCCACCTTCCTCCCTCTGGGGACCAGAACACGTTGGGTCTCGCTGCATGTCATCTGCCTCTCTACCCCTTCCCGCACACATGTAGCAGGAGGAGCGAGGGTTTAGCCCACGTCTGACTTGTTTTGTGACCTAAAAATAAACATTTCCATAATGATACATCAAAGATGATGTTGTTTCTGCAGGAAACAGTTAAAACTTCAAGAAAAAAAAAAAAAAAAAAAAAAAGGAGAGAACCAAAAATGCAATTTAACACCCAATTTCAAGCTCATTATCTTTCATTGTCTATTAACTTGGCAATGGTTCAGAAGGTAGCTCATAATAGTTTAAAATGCTGACTGAACACTTCCAGTGTTCAGCATTACTTCTTGAGTCAATAGTATCGTGTAGTTTATACATGGTGGCTTCAAAGGGAAAACAGTCCCGAAAGGTTTACCTTGACGTTTCCCAGTGCTTCAAGCTCAGCTAATAGTTGTGTTGACATGGATCTGCTCTCCTAAACGGAGCCAAGGTCCACTTAAAATGGAAATAACGGTAGAGCAAATACTGATATAAAATGGTACGGGTTTAAAATGTGTGCACGAGCCCCATAAGCAAAATGCTAATTTGCTTGAAGGATTTTTCTTTTTTTAAAAAAATCCCTTGGGGTGATTTGCAGGCAGAAGCTGGTGGTGTTTATCCTACCCTCTCCTATGTGAGCTTGTGCACTATTAACAGTTCAGATCTTCACAGAATCATAGTGGTTGGAAAAGACCTTTAAGATCATTGAGTCCAACCATAAACCAAACACTACCGATTCCACCTCTAAACCACGTCCCTAAGCACCTTGTCTACCCGTCTGTTAAATCCCACCAGGGAAGGTGACTCCACCACCTCCCTGGGCAGCCTGTTCCAATGCTTGACAACCCTTTCAGTGAAGAAGCTTCTCCTCATCTCCAATCTAAACCTCCCCTGGCACAACTTGAGGCCATTTCCTCTTGTCCTATCCCTTGTTCCTTGGTTGAACAGACCCACCTCCACCTCTCTCCACCCTCCTTTCAGGGAGCTGGAGAGAGCAATAAGGTCTCCCCTCAGCCTCCTTTTCTCCAGGCTAATCTTTTGAGTCTTTGAACTGGATGTCTGCAACAGGTGACAGTTGAGCTGAATGGAGGATCGTTTTAAAATGAGTAAAGCGGAGCCTAATCCAGAACCTGTGAGCACCAGAGGGAAAAAAAAAAATCCCTGTTGTCTTTAATAGGCTTTGGATCAGCTCGGAGAATACTGTTAGAGTTGTCTTTTTGTACCTACACCCACGTATGCCAGGTCTTCCTTTCGCAGTGAAACTCCCCACAAAACCTCCTAGAAAAATGCTAACTTAGATATGTACCGTTAATGTCATTATAGTTGGAACGATGCTGCTTTTTAGGAAGCTGAAGAGGGTGAAATCATAAAGGGTATGAAGCACTTCCACTGTATTTTTACTTTCTTCAGATCATTTTAATATTATATATAGTACAGTGGAATAGAAAAGTGACCCCAGCACAGTGGTGCTCCCTAACTAGCTACTTTTCTTTTAGAAACCCTCATGACATGCTCCCTGCCTGATGTTCATCAAGTAGCTGTGAAATCTTGAAAGTAAAAATGCTTTAAAAGCAAATAGTGCTTTTCCTTAATGGTTGAGGATTCTGCTTCATAGATTGATAAGTAATCGCAGAATCGCAGAATTATAGTGGTTGGAAGGGACCTCAGGAGATCATCCAGTCCAACCCCCCTGCCAAAGCAGGTTCCCT